TCCATTCAAGCATTATAGTTTATAGATTAGAGGCTAATTCTATTTAACTGAGCAGGTAAAACTCCAATGATTTCAATGTAAACTGAATATAAATTGACTCAATATGTAGCGTCATGAAATTCTGACCATTTTTAACGAGATATTTATTTTCTTTTGAATGGCTGAGAAAGCAAGTTATCCCTTAGTATCTGAGAAAAAAAAGATCAAACAAGACTTTTAAAATTACTATTTCACAAAGAATACGAAAACAAGGGACGGCAATTTTCTTGTCTGATGAAATGGTGAGGGGGATGGAAAGTACATTGAAAAAAATGTCGGGAAAAATCAGATCCTGTTACATTGGTTAGAGGAAAGGCTAAAAGAACACATCGGTACGTTTGAAATGGTGGAGCTTCTTCAGGAATTTTCTTATTTTTAAAGTCAGTAAAATTTCTGTCTCATAAATAAGAACACCTGTATGGAGAGGAAACGAATGGCACAATGTTGTTTCTAAAATGAGCCGGAAATTTTAATTCCTAATTACAAAATGTGGTAGAGAAATAAGGATGGTATAATAAATCACACAGGAAGCTGAACCGATAAAGGAGGAATAATAAAACAAGGAGAAGATACCTTCTTAAAATCAATGATTAGTCACACACTCACTCTTCGACAGTCTAAGAGCCGAAGGAGCCATAGCAAAGCTGAATGAAGTAAAGTTGTGAAATCTTGGTAACAAAAAGTGGAACAGGGGCAAAGAGGGAGAAAAATTCATATTTTCATCAGAATGAACCCATTTTCAGAAATTTCTCAAGAAAGACCACCGAACAGGGTGAGCAATGGATCACTAGACAAGGTACAAATTTAAGCATTCTGATACATGTTCCTTAACCAGAATTTCACGTAAAACACGATTCGCGCAATGAAAATTAATGAAATCAACTCCTAACGAAGATATTAACGTTTTTATTTCACATTGATTACAAGGATTTTGAACTGCCCGCTCACAGGAGACTCAAAGCTCTACTTGAGTCAAATCACGCACTACAACGGTTTCAGCAAGCTTCTCAATCGAGGAATGTTCATTTCCCACCATGTGTTGTTCAAACGATAAGTAATTTGCTATAGCTGAGCCAAAGCGTCTATATTGGGGTTGCTAGATTTTTATATCGCAGAGACTGTCATGATCACGTTTAGCTCGCGATGTGAATCACGTAGAGCATTGAGTTTTCATAAGCGAGTGATTTAAATTCACGCATTAAGAATCATTAAATATCTTCGTAAGGAGTTAATATCGGTAATTTTCGTTGTGCACATCTTGTTCTACGTGAAAATTTGGTTCAGAAACATGAATCAGAATGCTGGAATTCGTACCTTGTCTAGTGGTCTATTAAGCACTGAGCAACATGTTTTTCCATCAAAATTTCAAGCAGAAGACGCTAGACGCATTAAGAACTTATGAGTACGAAAAAACTGTTCGCAGTTCACATTATGAACAGTAATTTCAAACTTGTTGATCGAGATGAATTTGGAAACTTCTAAAGTGTCTTTCGTACTCTACGTAAAATGTTGATAAGAGAACATACAGAGTGATCTTAAGGTCCCGCACCACCCCTGTGCCCCCTCATATTCTTGCCCCTTTTCAGGGTGGCCCCATTAAATGGGGAGGGGGGGAGGTTCCAAAAGTAGTTCCCTTTGACCTGGGAACTCACAAAATTTCAAATCTCTACCTCAATTTGTTTAAAGGTTGCAGGGGTGATGCCGAAGGTGAGACTTGTGGCTTACCCTATCTATTGTGGTGCATAATATCGTACCTTGTCTAGTGGTCCATTTTTCAGTTAGATTTGATGTTGTCAAATTTTATGAATTTGTCTGATCAAAAGTAACGGACATAGTGAGAGCCAAGAGATTAAGAAAAAAAATGGCTGGATTCTTACGGGGAGTGAGGTGTAAAGGGGGATGTAGAGAACGATGCGAGGGAAAAACAGTGTTGCCTCTGACTGAAGAGAGTTATGGTATCCAGGCAAGTTTCAGAAATTCTATTTCTCGTCACATAAGGACACAAGTTTTTTGACGACAGCTAAACCGTAGGGCGAATTCTTTTCCATTCGCAAATCTTTCTTGAAATTTCATATTTGTTTCTTTGTACTTTTTAAGACTGAAGCTCAAGACGAGAAGGACACATCTCAGTGTTAGAGTCTCAGAATCTCTTTCTACATTTTCGCTCTTCAACAGGGACAAAAAAAGTTGCAGAGAGATGAAAATTTAATCGACCATTCTTCATATTCAGCGTTATCCTTAGCAAAAATCTCAAGTTTCATGCTTCAATAGTTTTATCATAAAATAAGAGATCGTCAACACTGCCATGCTAAAGAAGAAAGCCGTATGAACATTCGAGAGTTGCTAAATTTCCTTCGATAATATGTTTATTTTTAAAGAAAGTATTGAATATTTTTCCTTGAAATTTTCAGGAACTTTCGGTGAAATTGTGAGCAAAATTATCTTGATCGGAAGGAAAATATTCATAGGTTTACCAGCGAATTCCTGTTTTATCAAAGGAAATTTGGCAACGCTTGAAGATTTATAAGGCGTTTTTTCTTAGCATGGTAGAATAGGGATCCTGAAACATCATGACGGAGAAGTATTCTTCATGCACTGTCCTTCAAGTCCTCATAAATCGATTTACAGGAGATTCAAGGCAACACTGTACATAGAGGTTAGTCACAGACGCAGAAAGCACGATAGCCACATCAACAAAAGAAATGTTGAGTACCTTAACGGAAACAATGATGAGATGCATACTTGCAGTTGCACAGGTTTTAAACTTAACAGTTCCAAGATTAAATTACAAAAATAAATTAAGTAGAAAAAAGGTTCGTTCGAGCAGGTATCGAGTTATTTGATGAGGTTCTTAATATTCTTTTTAATGTTGTGTAAGTTAAAGAACCTAAATTTCGGCCGGAGCGTTGCGTCTTTTCTTACTGTCAACGAGAAAGAGAGGTAAGAGAGGAAGGAGAACGGGAACGGGAGCAGAAAAGAGAAAACAAACATAAATATTAGTCTTTCATACTGAATTTCAAGTTGTTTGGAGACAAGGTACACAAAAAAGGAGAAAAAACATGACATAAAAACATATGGTCGAGTAAAATTGGCATTGATCGACCTTCACTTTTCAAACTTGGATGTAAAATCTCGAGACTTTGAACGCAAAAATCCAAGCAAGAACAGAAATTAAACAGAAACATATGATGAAAATTTACTGGTTCTGTTGATTCAACTTCTTTCGAAAATCTCAAATAATTCTGCACACAATCAGGGAATGACTTGTACTTCTTTCCAGCAAGACTGAACATTAACAGGGTGTCTAGTTTTTTTTTTTCATTTTGGGTGATCCTTATTTTTGACTGCTAAATCCTGATTTTATAATTTTTCCAAAATCCTGATCAAACCCTGATTTATTGCGGAGAAAAATTAAAATTTCTGCATAGGCGTATGCGAAAGCAGAACTCTAAGATTTTCTCAAACTCTGATTTTACAACCCATTTTACGACCGATTTTCCCTCCGATCCTGATGAAATCGGGATTAAATCCTGATTGACTTCAAATCCTGATAGAATCGGGGAAATCCTGATGCTAAACACCCTAAAATCTTCATCTGCACAAAACAACTTCTATCAAAGTACATCAACTAATTTCGTATTAACGCAAAAATTTCGTATTAATAGAGAATAATCTTCTTTTTATCATTGCACCAGCTCCATACGAGCTGGGAACTAGTTAGTTGACTAGCTCTAATCAGTTTGCCGCAAAGTTCAGAGTAAGTCTGTCTGCCTAAAAAGGCAATCAGGAATTGTCACTGACTAGGCCATGCTTTGATGAATTTTATGAGGGAATTTAGGAGTTGAAAGTGCCAATTGACTTAGAAAAAAGTTGAATCAGCAGTCGCTTGATAACGTCTATAAATCTGAATTCTAAGAATTCTTTTTAAGATAATAATTTGCTGCCAAGTCTCTGAGAGACGTTAGCCTCACGCTGTTTTTGACTCAGATCATTCTCTTGCGTTGACTTCAGGGTTGAGTTGAGAATTCTGAGAATTGTGGTACTTGCAGAATACAAAAAAAAAAGGAACTAATTAAAAGATTCTTTGGAAATTGTTTCACTAACGTTAAAGTGAGAATACAGCTATCTAAAAAGACGAAGAAGATTTAATGCAACAGTCAGTGTTTCATGGAAATTTTCCCAGGTTTCAGATCCCTTGAGCGTACACTCAAAAGAAAAACACAATTTTCCTTCAAGATTATGATAAAAACAAATCAGTAAATAGACTTGAACTTTTGAAAATCCCCCTTAATAAATAGATGAGACGAGAAGTGGAAATGGAGGATCGTCAAAGATCTTGGCTTAATAGATTGAATGAATACTTCAATGTCAACATAAAAATTTCCGTGAACATATCCGTTTTTCCCACAAAAAACAGTGAACTGAAGCACTTCTTCAGTCAAAGATTTTAGTTAGATCTTTCCAGACCTTAGTGGCCATCATTCATTGCAAATTTCAAGAAAATTTGTAAACTATGCAGTTTTCCTATGATAAAATAACATTGTCGCATAAATTTTTGAACATTGCGATTGAGAACACGAGTTAACTCAGGAAAATTCTCTACGTTTTAAAATTGAGTTACTTTAATCGCAATAGAGTGGGACTGAACCAGGATAAAGTAATTATGCAATTTGCAGATGACTAGTTACGATAGAAATAAGCTAAAAGGAGACCATTAAACCTGAGAGAATCTCTCGAAAAGTCTCGGTAGAGAAAGAGGCAGAACAATTCGAGCAAATACCCAACATGAAACGGAGTAAAAACCGAACAACATGGAAAGGGGGGTACAGTAAGAACAGGAACACTAACGTCAAAAACAAAAAACCCAAAAGAAAATCAAGAGTCGAAATGCGGCAAAAAATGCGGCGGCAACCCGAAAACTAAAACAAAAACCATGACATAGAATAACCAGAGAGACTTACTTATGCACAAAAATTTAAATTTACAGTAAGTTTAAAATTTTACACGCGGACCCGCCCAGCGGGTGAAGTTGCTAGAGCGCAGGGATGGAGAGCTTATGCTGAAGCTCCATCGCTCCCATTGGCCCGCAACCAATCATCACTGTAAATCTGGCTTTGGCGTCAGGGTTGAGTCGACAGTCTGCGTTTCAGGAGGCAGGTGCGAGGAGGAGGGGAAGTGCAGGTTAGAGAGACAGAGAGATGTCGTGAGTGAGTAAGGGGGAAAAACAGAAAAAGCAATCGTCTCATTAGTTCTTTTCGCTCGAGGTTCATTAACTTCTCGAGAGGCTTTCGGGCCGACATCAAGTTTTGTGTGAAAATTTGATAAAATCAGGCAAAGACGGACAGTTCTGCCACCTCTGCTAAAACTGCTGGTTACATCTGACAAGAGGATTAACATGAAAATAGTGATTTATCACCTCTGGTCTCTGATTGGGTGATGTCGCAGTCAACTACAAAAGTTCCTCCATCAATGCCTTGTTTTCTTTTGTTCTTTGCAAAAATTGTTTATGACACATCGCGACATTTAGCAGAGCTGGTTTGCAACTGATTTTTGCATCAAGTGTGTTGAAATTTTAAAGGGAATACGCTCATAGTTGGCAGCATTTTGTCACTATATTTCTCAAGACAGTAGTACAATTTTAAGCAAAGGATAAATGTGACTAACAAGAGGTGATAGTACGGGTTCTTTCTCGACAGAAGGAAAAACACATATCTTCTGGTTCGGTAGCAAGCAGATTTGACTGAGGGTGATAGAACCAGTCCTGATTAAGAAAACTTTAGAGTGCAAAGGCATATTTTTAATGCGAGCTATTTCAAGAGTAAACACTCTTTCAAAACCCAATAAATAAGTTACGAACCAATCAGTTCATTTTTGTGCAAAAAGAGAGTGTACGGTTACTTTCTTATCTACCAACTTTCAGCCCTGAGGATGGTGAATCTAATCTAATTTTAAATTGCTTGTCCTCGACACTAGCTTTTCGACAGCAAACTTCAGCTCATCATGGCTGTGGTCTGATTAGAAACTTTGGAGTCTTTCAGAACTAATGTCAATTCATCTTTGACAGTAAAAAATTACTTTTTTTTTAAAGCTACTTTCTTTCATGAATGGCTCTCTGTCTTAGTCCATTGTTTTCATCTCAACCTTTTAGAGTATTTTTATGATTTAGTACAAGATGGATGGCACTAACTTGTGTCTCAAAATTGTACAAGAGAAACGTCAATTAACCCCTAGTTGACAGAATCACGGATTAAAGAATTCAGTTATAAATTTTACACATAAAAACATCAAATTCTTATGCTCGGATGATAAATTCACAAAACTTGATGGTCCCCACGGCCTCAGCTATCAAGAGAAGATTGGCTGTAATTAAGGAAAAGAATTGGTTAGAAATTTGAAGAAGCTGTGACAGCTAATACTTCTGCAAATGGATTAACTAAAAACCTGACAACAGCGTTCAATTAGAGTAATTCTGACTTCTGCTGCGCTCTCTTTTTTTGCTCTTAAAGGAAAAGGAAAAAAAAAACTAGTTTCATTATTCTTCAGTTCAGCATTAGTAAAAAAAAATGCAAAAGACTCTGTGTTTTAACCCCCGGGACAAGACTTAAAAAAGCCGTTTCAAAAGAAACAAACGAAACATTTAAAGATATTTGAAAGTGAGGGGTGCCTTTAAGAGTTATGTTGTAAAATGCAGAGACTTTGAAAGAGAATAAACTGATTGAAAGATGGTTCAGAGATACAGGTTTTAAAGATCAATCAGTCATAATTTCCTTTAAAAGAAGGTTCCGATATTGTACTTCATGCAGCCACAAGAATAAAAAATCACACTTTTTTCCCCTGTATCATGATTTTAAATTATGAAATTTCGATCCGTTTATAACGTTCAAAGCTTATCAATACAGTGAGTTTATAACGGCAGCAAATTGGGAAAGTGTGGTAAATTGACTCCCCCTCTTTGTTTCCTCCCTCCATCATTAGGAGGGCGCGGAGTTAGAGTCAGCAATTTTTTGAAAGCAGATCCTGTGGTTTGTGTAACCTTGAAAAGTCCTTGACTTTCTTCCACAATCTCTCAAAACAATCTACCTAATGTCTGATGCTGTATCATTTCTTAACAACGAGAATTTTACGTTGACAACAAGTAAAAAGTAAAATTTAAGCACTTTTCGAGCACCTAAAAATTAAGCACTTGAAACATTTTTGGAATGAAGCACTTTTTACCCACTTTTTGAGGCTGTTTGGGCCACAAATATCAATGCTGAATTGATTATAAAATATAAACCTTATAAGTGACGTTACAAAAAAGGGAGCGCAAGAGAACACTGTTCAGGACAACGAGTGAAGCAAATATTTAGGAAGTAAATTCAGTTCGTGAAAAATTGGAGTAGAAAAAAAGACTCTTGGTATAATACCAAATCCTTGCAAAAGATCTGACACGTCTATCTGTACAGAAGAGAGGGGGAAAGATGTTTTGACAGTGAGACAGTTCTAATGAAAAACCATGAGTTTTTCTCTCAAATTTTGGTAAAGGTATGCTCTGAGCAAATTTGAAGATGGCATCTGCTCATTGAAAATGCTCAAATATATAGAATAGGTGAATTTGAGTTGTTGCCATAGTTTTCTGTGAAAGAATTGGTAAGAAATCCACCCTTAAAAATTCAAGAAAAAATGGTGCGTTTGAATATCCAAGGATATTTAAACATCTATGAAATTTTTTTCATCTCCTGACTTAGTTTTTACTCTGAACGACTATAAAAAAGAATAATGGACACTAAAAAATGTTAAATAAAGGGTGGGAGAAACAATCGTAAAATAGAAAAAAACCCATGAGTCTCAAAACAAGTGGTGTACACAAATGAAATTGACTAAAACTGTCATCATAAAAAGTTTACAGGTGACTAACAATGGTAATAGAACAATTAATCATTTTACTTAGTCTTCAATGGGGTAGCTAGGATTTTTTCATGGGGGGAGGAGAAAGCGGTTCACAGCCAAAAATTTCTCATGGGGGAGTCCTTGATTTAAAAATTTCTTAAGATCATGAAAAATCATGTTATATGGGGAGTATTTTCCAGTCATGGGAGAAGAGGACGGGGTGCCAAGGCGTCCTGGATCCTGTATCGAGGTGATAATACTTTTTGTATGGTTTGCCTCATGATCGCTGGATGTACGTCAGATTTTCAAACTCTTTCACAAGACCTCTTCCAACTTAATCAAACAATTGATCTCTCCTTGACTCTGCTGTTTATAGAGTGAAAAAATTAGCGTATGACTTTCTTTGTAGACTAATTGAAAATTTGTTTGGAACGTATGAATTCCTGGGCATTCCTGATTTTTTATGATGACAGATTTTATCAATTTCCGCTGGGGAAAACTCTGGGAGGGGATAGACAAAAAACAAAAAAACCCAGTTCATATACAGAAGATTTGGAACAACTGAGAGGGTTATACGAGTACAAGCTTAGAAATCTAACAGAGATCTAAAATTAGAAGGCCATAACATCCATATTCTATATTTAAAGTTTCTTTCAGGATTTTCTTTGACGGGAAGGAGGAAAAACAAAACATGTTTTAGCAGGAACAAGAGCAAAACTTAATTTTTGTCCAATACTTATAAAGAGGGGATGCTCTGTGAATCTTACAATTAATCACAGAAGAGCCGAATTTCTGGCTGCAGTTCAACGGAGGCTAAAACATTTCACCTGGATTTTTTATTTAAAGAGTGCTTGTGGGATTGAATCATAAAATTCTAGAGAAATACAAAGAGAGTGATTATTTTTCCAATTTTTTTAGGAAACTCCGTCAGCCGAAATTGTGTTAGCTGCAGCTGCTTGCAAATTGTGTAAAAAACCTAAAAATCGGTGGCACTTAACTAGATAGTTTACGTATGGCTTTGCACATGACTTCGATACAACTTCAGCTACCTGCGATCCAGACAAAGAGGATGACAAGATTTAATCTCTGGTATTACATTGAGCTCGGATTGAAAGAGAAAAATTAATTGCATTGATGATTTGAAGCAAGAAGTGTTGATTTGTTTCGCAAAGATATGCGCGTTGCGGTTTGTTATGACCTTGGATGATAAAATGACGTGCTGAAGGCCGTAAAGACAGTGGCTCTTTTAACTTACTGACTCCTCTGCCCATTTTATGAGTAGTGCTACAAAGAGGCTTTCAAGTCAAAGGAGCAACTCTAAGTACAGCCCCGAGCAATCGAGAGAGGAAAAAGTGAGGACAGAAAACACGACAAGGATTCAGGTGAGTCTGGGATCTAGACAGGAAAGCAAACTGAAAACTAATTAGAATAGAGGAGAAGAGAAAAGGGCCTCCATTACACTCGTTCAAATGAAATTCCGAGGAACAGCTGTTTAAAATTTTCAGAGACGGACATGCCGACTGCTGAAAATGAAAAGATCTTGGTTGAAGCAGAAAAAGTAATAAAAGAGATCGCTTTTCTTCAAGTAAAAAATCTTACGTTGTAAAACAAAGCAAACTAACGATCTAATGGAGGGCTTGAAAGGCCATAATTCTTTTTGTCTGTTTACGAGAAAAAAGGTGAAAGACAGAGAAAGTGAAAAATTCAGTGAAACACACTATTTTTAGCCAAAATCACAGATTTGCCCCCTCCATTTAGGACGACTGGATCTTTTCGCTAAATTCCATTGATTAGGAAACTTGAAAATATATCATTTTGCTTGTAGCTGACTGTGAATTCCTAAAAAATAAGGAATATCTAATTAGGTATGGGAGGACGGACTGAGAGGTGGTTTGGTTTACGTAGTCAAAAATGAAGAAATATTTCCAGCTGAGAAAAGCTAACAGAGAGTAGATAATGGAGGACTTTTATTTCACATAAAAGGGGAAAGAATAAAAAGGAGGTACGATCTAGCTGGGAGTTCATCACGCTACTAGTTGAATGACGAAAAGGGGAAGGCAAAAATTGCCATTGGCTGGCGCAAGGAAATGCTACATACAAAAGGGAATTTCCAAAGAGGGAGACACAAACAGACGGAGGCTAGAAGACGCAAACATGGGGTAAAAAGTGTCATAATTACCTCGAATAAACAAAACGAATCGAAAGATGAGAATGAAAATTTCACTAGCGCTTCAATCCATTTAAACATTTTAGCGTGAATTTACACATGTATTGTCTATGATCTGTGTCTACTTGCCACTAAAACTAATAGAAAGGTTCCGCGAGAACTCAAGAGGCACTTAAATTAACAACTGGGTAGCAAGGATTTGAGCTATGAGGCGATCTTAACAACTAAGCAGAGTACATCGGGTGAGATGAAATGAGCAACATTTAAACCAACATCAAAAACGAAAAGAAGAGCAAAATGGCAGTGTACTAACAACGAAAAAACCAATCGCGAAATAAAAGAAACGGATTATTGTTCCTTTTGATTTTATTTTATTTGGAATGTTGGACGCCATGAAAATCTAGAAAACAAAAGGTAGAAAAATAAATGGTAACATGATATCTATTTTCAAAGAATCATCGGGACAGTTTGCACCAAAGATGCACCAAGTTCTTCGTCTTTCTGTTTTCTGCATTAAGCCTTTCATTTCCTCCTTTCCCCAGATATGGAAAACAGATGACTCATTACTTCACTTGGAATTGCAGGCCATTTCACTAAGATCATGATTCTCAACACTGACACAAATCAGCCTTCCTACTTTTAAGCCAACTTTTCACATCGTTTCAAGTATTTTACACATCTATACAAAACCTGATGAAAGCGCTGTCAAGAAATTATGGCAGAAGAACATGAATTTCTGTAAATATGGCCAGTCATTAATGCACAAGAGTGAAGAATATCCTTCGTCACACAAGCAACTGCTCTTGTGAAATAATTTTACTTATTAATTTTCTTTCTCCTGAAGGAAGTTTTTGAATAAATGCTAAAAAAAGGGAAACTTTTAGGCCAGCGCGTACTTTTCACCTTTACACTAGAATCAAAATATATCCTAAATTACAGTAACTAAGAACTTGGTGGCATCCCTCTTTTGGCATTTCGACAGTGATAATGCAGGAACGTATCTTTCAGTTGTGATGTGTCAGAATCTCCGCTTTTATTATTTCTTTTAAAAAGGAGACCAAATTGACATAATGGCTTGAAATTTTCTTCACAGAGAGAGGAAAAATTAGAAGTTTTCGAGGAATGATGCTCAGTGGTTTTCCTTGTAGGAAATAAAATATGACATGCGGTCTGCAACACTGCGAACTGGGATATGCATTTCTGCAGTTTCACAATCCATTTATAAATCTTGTGGGGGAGGGGGGAGGAGCAATGTTTCGTATTGAACGGGATATTCTACTGAATTTGAAACTTCAAGGACACCGGGAGGCAAAACGGAAGTTTTGGACTCTTTGAAAATAAATACTAACAGAAAACAGGACAGAAAAAGACATAAGTAATAAAGAGGAACAAAACACAGTATAAATAATTATACAGTATGTATTGAATTACAATTATGAAACGAAGATTTCAATTGGTGAGTTTATTTATTAAGTCGTTTTTCCAAATGTTAGTCAAAACAGTTGAGAATTGAGAGGCTCTTTCCTGAAATTTTTTATCATGTTCAAAAATTGTAAAAAATTGTTGTCACCGTACATGGTAACAAACATACATGGTCATTAACGAAAGAGCATGAAGATTGCCTGAAGTGATAACAACACAATTTTCAAAACAACATTAAAGACTTCTCAGTCTGTCTCAACTTGTAAAGTACATGTCGGTTTTGATGATTTTGGGGGAAAAAATCTTCTTCAAGGGATTCAACAATGAAATTTTTTCCAGAAAGCTGAGGGATAGAGATCAAGGGTGCTGAATGTTCTATAGTTTCGAACTTTCCATGCTTCGAAGCAAATATAGATTTAGTGTTGAAAAGGAGGAGATGATTTTTCAATTTTTGATTGTGAGAATCACTTCCTACGGAAAGTTTTGAAGAGAAAAGACCAATGATACTTCAGATCACATTTTGTACAACAGCTTATTCAGGCACGTGTGAAAATGCAACAAAAATTAGGGCTGGACCGATTAATTTTTACTCTTATAATAAAATAAAAGTTAGAGTATTCTTATTTATCTCTCTATTTTTGTTTATTTTATTTATTAATGTTTTAGGTTTGATTCCCTACGCTTTTTCTTGTTATTCCCATTTTGTATTTTCTATTAGTTTTGGTTTTCATAGAAACTTGATCGAATTTTACTAATGTAACTTACTCATGACTGCCCAGAAAACTGAAAGGGCTAATGTGGTCTGTCATCAGCCGTAAGTCACGAATGATGAACTAAAAATGCAGAGTAAAGAGTCAAGGTAGAATACAATATTTTCAAGCCCAATGGAAGAAAGTTTTTTAGGATACAACATTCTGCACCCTTGACAGAACATGATTGTAATCAATCTTCTCTGTGAACATAGAAACACTCGCCGATTACTTGTACTTAGAATCAATGTCATTTTGGTCTGAAGACGAACAGAGGACGTTTCTAATTCCTCATATGCAGGAGGAGCACTGGAGGAGAGCATCTCTCTCGAAGAAGCGCGAGGAATAAAAACACGTTAATCCTGTGTAGTTCTTGTCATTTCTGCAGGATCCTAAGCTAGGGAGAAAGAATTCGTTTAGACGAGTGGCAAATGAGAACATGAAGAGTGAACTGAATCGAGTACTTACTCCTATCAATATTCCTTTGTAGATGAGATGCAATGCGGTGGCGCGCATCGTTGTACTCCAGGTGAAGTCCCAGTCTTAACAATGTTGGATTGGACTCGACCAGTTTTGTAATTTCCATTTCTATCTTATTACCTAAAACTTGTGACCTCTGCAAAAAAACCAACAGTTTTAGAACAAGATGAAATGACCAAGGATTGGTTGAGACACGTGATTTTTTTCCAACTTGGTTGTTCAACACTGTACTCCGATTTGACTCATCTTTAGCTCATCCGTCATCAATCTATCAGATGGAAATCAAGTTCGAGATTGCAAATATTTTTATCATAGATGCTCTATAAATCAAAAGTGCAAATCAATCACAGAGTTCTATACCGGCAAATAATCTCCCGGCACAGATTAATCCGTTTTTATTGAAGGATTTACCACAAAGCAACATCTTGAAATATTTTGATAAGTGATTGATACTTCAGGAGAATTTTCTAATTTACGGCAAAATTCAATCGGGGATCTGAGTGTCATTTTCGGTTCCAATTTAAGTTTTTATGATCATGTAGACTTTATTGTTAAAATAACAATCTATGCCAAAATAAAGCCTGAAATTCATCACTATGATACTATCGCAATGGATGACATCAACTACAGTGTTTTCCATAGGATCGTATCTCTGATGACACAAGATGAAAAAACTCCTTGCTAAATCAGATCTTGGTACTTTTTATTGAATATATAGGATTCAACAATAAAGGCAAGAATAAGCAATTTGCAATTGATTCTTCTTCTTGGCTTAATAATTTCATCTTAAAATGAACGTCCTCTTACGAGGCAGATTTAAAACTGTAAGCACTCTTTGTTTTTTTACTATCAAGGGGAATTCACTTTTCCATCAATGACCAAACACTGAGATATTATCAAATTTTATTGTATTTACAAATGATTTGCACCCGACCAATTATAAAAGTCTGAGAAAAAAACTAACTAATCTAAAAATTAAGTAATCCAAGGTTTGAACCTTGTAGAAATTCTACTGGTTATGAATCAATGAGAAATTACTGAAGGCAGTCTATTATAAGGTTTGAACTTTAGATCAACGAACTGAGGTGAACTTTGGTAAACTGAGAGTGAATATACTTAATGGTAATATTTTGTTCAAGCAATATTGATTCACTTTTTTCCCATTTTTAGATTTGCCCACACCGAACTCTCCTTAGCTGGGATTCTTGAAAGTAAAACGGTGCTTTAACAAAAATCTAGGAATGGCAAAAATAGTGAAAAAATATTGAAATGAAATAATATGAAAATTAAAAATGAGTAAACCACATGCATCAACGATTGAAGTTTAGAAAACTAATGCTGTGAATCTGCAGCCAATCCATTCGAGTAATTAACAGTTGAAAGTTGGAAATTTTGATCTTCATGACTTCATTCTTCTTATCACAGAGATTATAAGTCATTTTTTTATGTATATAAAGACATTTCAGTTTTAATGAAAAAAAAAAAAAAAAAAAAAAAAAAAATTCAGTAGAAGATCGTTTGGAAAAACACTAGGATTTTCAAAAATGATCCATCATCGCTGCGACCAATGTGGAGCCCTTACGATTTTCTGGCTGTTGGACTTTCGATTATAGAAAAAAAAAGTTAGGACTAATGTCTGAAATGACACGTTACCTGATTGGTTGCTCTGAATTCTTCAAGAGACCTTTGGTTAAGCAACGATTTCATAAGTCGTACAATACCATCGGGACTAATAAAATTTGTTTCAACACTGGAAATAGAGAAAAATAAATCATTATTTCACAAATCACCTCATTTGCCACTTTATACCTCTCTCATAGATCTTTCCGCACAAACTACTTACACTTCTCTATCTTTATGTATTTGATTTGTGGACTTACTATCGACGATAAAATTATTAATTCTGCAATGATTTGATTGTCCTACGGGCACAATTGGACTACATTTTACAATTAGGAACTATAATTTCTGGCTAAGTTTAGAAACAACATATTAGTTCAATAGCAGTTAGTGTTAGCATTAGTTTCTCTATGCATACTGGAGTTTTTACAGATGAGCCAGAAATTGCAGTTCCGAATTACAAAATGCAGCCCATTAAGCCTGCCCTTCAGGGATGCAGAAAATGCCCTATCATGCGCCCGGGCAGGCGCATGAAAATGTGAAAAATCCCCAAAAATGTGGAAGGAGGGAACATGTTGAGGGGCCATAAGTCGGAAATCAACGGAAAGCAGAAGTTAAACATCATCTTCTTTTAGATTGGTGGGAAATTTTGCGGAGAACTGATGAGAAAAATGTGGAGAGCCCGCTGGCAGGCGAATGGAAATGTGGAAGCTCGGAAGATCCTGCACCCCTGCTCCCCTTACATAACTCCAAATTTCAGACATGAATGTTACCTCCTTTGTAAGCTTTGTTGAACTGGACCGCATTTTGCGATTAGGAAAAATAAAATCTGGCTCAGTTTAGAAACGACACATGTACCATTAGTTTCCCTAAGAACATTTGTGTTTTTACAGATGAACCAGAAATTATAGTTCCTATTTGCAAAATGCGGTCCGATTATCATTCCCTCTCAAGGTTTTGTTCAGGATAATGAGGCAGAAAAATTTACATCTAATGTTCATAGACTTCTAATTTGGCAACGCATTTTATTGATGGCCAAAGTGTGAAAAATTGTATCTCTGTTTGCGACGCCGCCGACTTCCTGTCAAACTTAATTTTTCCTTTAAAAAACCGGTCATCGTATAGAAATATCTTGATTTTTTTTCTCTGTCAGCAGGAAATTGACCACTAGACGAGGTACAAATTTAGGCATTCTGATACATGTTTCATCATTAGAATTTAACATAGAACACGATTCTTGCATCGAAAATTACTGAAATCAACTCCTGATTAAAATATTAACGTTTTTATTTTACATTCGTTACAGGAAATTCAGTTTGCCCGGTCACAAGAGACGCTATTCTCTACATAAGTCAAATCATGCCTCACAACAGTTTTGGCAGGCTTCTGAATTAAGCATTGTTCCTTTCCCACCCTTAATTGATCAAAGTGTAAACAATTTGCTATAGCTGAGCCAAAACGTTAGGAGTGAGGTTGCCAGATTTTCATATCGCAGAGATTGTCATGGTAAAGTTTAGTGTGCGATTTGAGTCATGTCGACTATTGTGTTTTCATGAGTGGAAGGTTTGAATTCATGCACTAATAAACATTAAATATCTTAGGTTAAAGTTGATTTCAGTAATTTTCGTTGCACATATCGTATTCTACATGAAATTTAGATTAGAAAACAGGTATCAGAATGCTTGACTTTGTACCTTGTCTAGTGGTCCCTTCTATATAAATTCTATTGAAAGAAAAAAGAAGAAAAAAACCTGACGACTGAAAATGAATGAAAATAAAGGAGAAAGTACTTACTTTACAACTTTTAGAGTACAGTTTTTTTCAAGAGCTTCCGCTAATTTTATGGCCGTCCTATCGGTCATACCTGTATTTGTTAAACTTAGGGTTTCCAAGTTTGTGTTATCTTTAAGCGCTTCAAATAACTGTTCAAACTTCTCGTCAGAAATATTCTGAAACAGTTCAAGTAAACATGTATAAATAAGGAGCCAATTACATAAAACAAATTTCTCCTAAAAATGTAAGTATCTTTGTAATTTTTTCTTTTTTTACTCTATTATCTGCCAGCGAAATTTCAATGAATAGTCCATGTTATTTCTTATGGAATTTTACAAATGATTCCAATGAAAGATTCCAAAAGGTGTCTTGAATGATGCACAATTACTAGAAGATTACACCTGTAACTGAAGTCAGCTAGAAAACAGGTAGATTCTGAAAACAAATGCAAAAACACAACATTCATTTCCTGACATAAGGTTTTAGAACTTCCTGAGTTTTTGCTGATTGTTGAAAAGTATAATTGGTTTTATGAAACAAAAATACCAACAGATTCTCCTCAGAGGTCAATTTGCTTCAAACAATGATAAGAAGCAATTTTTTTGGGGTGAAAAAGCACCATCTGATCGTGACATTGATAGTATTGTAGTATTTAATGAGTAGAATCTTAAATTGATTGAACTTACAAGATGAAAATTCCATCAAAATAAAAAAAAAAAAAAAATACCAAAAATTGACGATTGAATGATAAAACTTTGTGGCTTCATTGTCAGAGAAACCAATAATACCATCAATGACCATGATTCCTTTTTCCCGTTCTTTCTTTCTGTATTTTTTAGATTAGACAAGCACAAAGTATCAACTCTCAAAAGACTTGAGTTTGCTTTGGTGTCAACATCCAAAATTGCTGTCTACAAAAATAACACATGAAAGACTTTGAGTTTTCTTTTCATGGTTGATTCTTTTGCGCTCCACTTTCCAAATTGAATATAGTAGTGGCATACAAAGAGTATGCTAACATTAGATCAGAAGGACCAAATTGGTAGTCATACTGCTACTCTAAGGAAAAACACTACACAAGCATTTAAATGCTGTAAAATGTTTCTTACTTTTGAGTCAAGTCATGAATATTTTTTTTGAAACTTTCAGATACACTGGATTAAACTGTGAATACAATTTTTGGAGGTGTATGAGGGAAAATTCGCAAATCTTGGAGAAAGTTTGTACTTTATCAATGAAAATTTGATGAAGTCTGAATATTTATACTGTGTTTCTTATGGGCATTGCAGGGCAGGTTTCGATAATAATTTTTATATTCCTTGATTTTTCGTACTTTTCTCTGACTACAAAATTTCCTGTTTTCTTGACCTTTGAACAAAACTTCTGCTTAGGTTTCTTTTCTGTGCACAGGACACAACTACGAAAACTAGTCACATGTACATTGAGGTGTTTCAGAATCTCACCTCCTATTTAAATTTTTTGAAAGGAAACCAACCAACATAGTTACTGGAAAATGATAGCAATTTTTTTTGCCTAGCTGAAGGTCATTTCTACATAATTTTCAGAGAAAGTGTGGGTTTGTTTCCTATAAAAAATTAAAATAGGAGTTGACATTATGAGACACTGCAATGTAGATACAAACGTTTGGCTTAACTCTATCCAATTACAATGATCATTGCTGAACTTTGGATGGAATTTGCACTTCTAGAGATTCAAATTATGGCAAAAGGCACTGGAAGGTTGTTGAACTGACCCCCTACTCAGGAAATTCCCAGGTTTTCCAAAGTTATAGCATATCTTTGACTTTCCAAGGGTTTCCTTTGAATTTTTAATTTATTTTCCCTGCGTCTCCATTGATTGCTTCTTGTGTTTTGCTTAAATCTATCTAGTATTTTCCTTGGCCTTTTCTTGCTATTTTCCTGAGCTTTCTCGAAGTTCCCCTTGAATTTTTTTTCAGACTGCCCGAAACCCTAAGCATGGTTGGCAAGTTAGTAGAGTTAAGTAACTTTGAGGGGCAGCAGAAAAAATGTACTTACTTTAATATTATTCCAGTTCAAGTGCTTGAGGTCGTAATTGTCCTCTTTGACCATCTGGATACTGAGCTCTATATTGGTATCATTTGGGGGTTCCGGGGGGAAGACTTTGGGCTGTGACGCTTTCGTGATGCCATCCCAACCAAGACCCAGGGGCTGTCCTTTGTTCAGCAGACTCGCGTGGTACTGATCTTGATTCATCATTGAATGGAATCCAAGAATTGCTGCCGCACAGAAATCGCAATTAATCAAAGCTATAAATAAAACATGTCGCACGCAACTTGCACTATCCCCCACTCTTCGTCGTCACTTCCTCTTGTCTATTCTCCAGGTTGCCAAATCAAGCAATAATGAAATGAATTTATAAAATCATCAATAATTTTGAGGTTTCAAAAAGTCATAAAGGGTTAAATACTTGGGGTAAAAATTTGAAAAATCCTGAAACTCTTGCGAAACAGGTCCTCACCTTTCCTTTAAAGTTTCATTAAAAGAATCAAACCTGAGAGAGAACTATACTAAATAATAGAGCGTCACAGATATTACAAAAGCAGGTCCATTATTTGTGTAGTCCTTGACACTCTATCTCCCAGCATAGGTTTAAGTTTTTAATGAAACTTTCAGAGAAAGGAAGAGACACCTCTTAAAAGGATTCATGGATTTTCAAAATTTTATTCTCCAAATTAATAATTAGCCTTTTATAATACATTTAAGTGTCAAAATGTAATGTCCATGACCAACAGAAAATGTCTAGTGGAAGATTTTGAGGGCAACAAGAATTTTATTAAAATTGAAATAAAAAATCTGCTTTTAACTACTCATTTTTAGTAATCTCATTCTGCAAATGAAAAGTTACACCTGATATTAGGCCTCAGAAGCCCATGATACTCACAACGACTGTTAAATTAATTACAATCATAATAATTCACACTTGGTTTTATCTTAAAAACAATAAAATTAAACTTTAAACTTGAAAAATATTTTATTTGTGTGCCCATTGCTTAATTTTGACAAATGAGTTCACCACTGACGATGCCAAAGGGTGTTGACAAGTACATTGGCACTACGACTTGGCGCCAATTATTTCACTGATGCCTACTGTTGTTTCCGAATAGATGCTGTTACTTGTCAACAGTTGTGTGAGGTACCAACCAGCCGCATTAGATTTTATCAAACTAGAGAAGTTCATGTGACCTCATTTGAGCCAATTATCTTACAAACAGCAAATCTTTCCTCTGCAATTTCGAGTTTGCGCCTGAGCGAACAGAAAATTTGTGTGTATTTTAGCCCTTCAAAGAAAAGGCTCCATATACAAATAAATAAATAAATAAATACCTGCAAGGTCGATAATTTCATCTTGCGTGGCTTGACTTAGAGCTTGCTCATACTCATCACCCAGATCAATTGCTATCTGTTCGTCTGCTTCCTTCTGATTCACATTTTCAGGAGGAATCCACTGAATATAAAAGAGAGAACACAGGTTTAAAACAGGTTACAATAAGAGTAAAGATCAAATAATTCATGACACTGCACCTCACACTTGGCAAAGGCATTGCTAGAACGTCAGGCTATGCATTGTTGCCAAAACAACTGAAGACCATTACAAACTGATTGCAGCAGACGTACTGGTCGTAAGATTAGACAGTAAGACCAAGTAAGTTGGAATTTTTGTTTTCTTAGCCTACATGCGTTAAAAATCCAGAAAACTGGAAATCTCAATACAGAGGGAAAAAGCTCATTGAGCACAATTTTCCCTCAAAGAGATACGCTGTTTGGTGCAACACTTGTAACAACCATTCGGGAAGGCAACTGAAAGACGCGTTTGGAGTCTAACATCCAACAGGTCTAAAGACCATTAAATTAACATTTAAAAGTAGCTACCCTCTTGTCTCCTTTACTCATTAAATCTTGACTCAGTAGGATCGACTAGAAAGTAGCGGTAATAATTGAGGAAAACTCTTAAATTCTGTTAAAATTATATTTTAAATTTTTATCTTTGTTTCGGTGAACAATATAATTTATTTACTTAACAAAATTGAACAACCTTACTTAGGTTCATCCGCAGCTGCTAGCAATTAATCAGTTGGTAATGTTGGTTCTCATTATATCTAGATTACTTTAAATTTTAAGTTTTAAAGGTTAATCTTTTTTATTTATATTTCTTATTGTAGGACTCACTACGCTCACTATACGCATAAGGGGAGCCATCCTGTTTTTCTTGGCATGACAATGTTATCTAGAACTTTCAGGAGTTATTGGTGAATTGGTGGATATTACAGAAAATTTTAGGAACATTTTTATATATACTTATGCTGCATTATTTGCATATTGCACTAATGATAACAATTGTCATGGTTTGACAGACTGTTGAAGCTAATTTAGTGTGGAGAAGAACGTTCACTTAACGCTCGAGAGTCGCCAAGTTTCCTCCAATTAATAATTGAGAGTTACAAATATTTTCTCTTGAAATTATCAGATAATTCAGATCTAATCACAAATAAAATTCTTCAGGAAATTCAAGGAAAAACATTCACAGTTTTCTCTGAAAATTCATATTTCATCAAAGGAAATTTTGCAACATGTGAAGGCTCATTTAGCGTAATCTTACTTGGTACAGGAGTGTACTATGGGAACATTAATTTGCAGTCATTATCAATTATTTGTGTGCTTTTCGATTTCAAAGTTGTATTTAAAAAGACGATAAATGAAAGTGATTACAAGAGAAAAAAATGGTTTAAACAGTGAAATTTACCTTTTTGCCACGAATGGTGCCCGCAACATAAGGTTTGAATTCTGGTTTGTCTGGCGTTTCCAAAGCTTGTTTGTTAATGTGTTCAATTAGTTTCTTCCTATTTAGTGGTCCAGTCGGCTTCTTCTCACATTCGTAACTACACCTTTGTGATGGTGGCAACAAATTATCCTGAGAAAAAAACAGAAAAAACATGGTAAATTATGGATGATATCATCAAAGTTTGATAGTGAACACTTAATCTCAATTACAATTTTTTCAGTTGTAAAGTTTTTCCACCTTCCCCTTGTCACAATTCAACATTTTCTAGATGAAAGAATGTAACTATATGTATACAATACAAAAGTTTTGCTCGCTAATTGTATTTTCACTTAAAGACTGTTGGGCGTTTTTAGCTAAAAATTTCACTGATTTTTCTACTGATCGCTCAAAAAAAAATCAGCAAAATTTTCCTGAGAAATTAAACAGTCGTATTCTGGTTAAAAAACAGCAATGACCTTGGAATTGGATTACGTTTCTTCGTCTCTGAAACAACAAATTAACCAGAATCGACCTAATTACAGTAAATGCCGATTAATTTCCTCTCACTTTTTACTTTCCTAACAGAACACCAAACAAAGACGAAATTTTCTGATTAAATTCTCTAATATTTAAGAATGATTCGAGGAAAGATTTGCAGAGATACATCGCTTGAATTACAGTTCCAATAATAAAACAAGAGTGGATTTTATTTATTGATTTCTTAAATTTTCCTGTTTTTCAAAAACTAGCTTCCTAAATTTTCTAACTCTCTGGTTCTGCAAGGAAAGGGAGACAGAAACAACCACAGCTGTAAAATCACAGCTGCCACCATAACAAGTGTCGGACAAATCTGAGTTGACAGTCTAACCAAACGACCCTTATTAATTGTGTCTTATTAAGTATACTTAACAAAGAGACTTGGATAAATTTGGAGAACTTATAAATAAACCTCGCGAACTTTCAAGGGGTGCGCGTATCACTTTATGAACCATTGCCAATTTGCTTGAGGAGTAAAGAGTTGCTTCACACGGAGAGAATTTAATAGCCTAGGATTACCAGTCAACCGAGCGAGGAAGAGATAATTTCTCACGAACCAGTAAGCATGACTTGAGTTTGTGACAAATCCACATTGAGTGTTAATGTAACAGTGACTACATTTTGAAATTAAAAAATAAAAATACGCACACAACTAATCACTTCCTCATGCGAAATGAGCATATTCAAATCTGATGCAACCTGCTTTCATTAGTCAAGGGTCATTTGGCAAATTAAAAATGTCAGGAGGGAAAATTTGTGCGCCATACTGCTACAAGGCAATGCATACGTCGCATGCAAACAGTCAAGTCGGGCATTTTATCAAATGCCTGGGCAGATAGTCAAATTTTGACCATTTACAGAGCTTGGTATGTTTTCAACGAAGGGCTGTCAAGCATTCAATGCACTTAGAGTAAAAATTCATAAAATCTACAAAATTTCTTAGTGCTTTTCTCTCTGAATGCTCTTTCTTTTGTTTTGACTTTAAAAATTTTAAAAATTTTGTTTTTAATGACATTCTGTAATTTTAAGATCTTTTAAGGAAGATCTTTACAGATACCATTGCATGATGCACACTTTTATAACATGAATTATTTTCAACAAAAGTAAGATTATTTTACTTTCTGCCTAGGTATTTGACAAAAAAAAAAAATTGCTAGATTTCATTATTTGCCTGCAACACATGCATTACTGATAAAATCAGACTTAAAATTTTTGAGGAACCCCTGCAAGAATAGATTCATTCTCTTAAACAAGTTCTGTGAGCTACATTTCTGCCAGGTAGTACTGAAAAAGTCGATAATTCATTGACCAATTTGGCAACCTAGATGAGCTTTAAAAACTTTGCCTTTGATATACTTATTTACTGTGATACTCAAATTTTTTTGACATATCATTTAGCATAGAACAACTTGGTGATTGTGTCTCAGATTTAAACTGGTTAGCCGGCCAGGTTGGCCTAGTGGTTAGCGCGTCTGACTCTAGGTCAATAGGTCCCGGGTTCGAATCCCGGTGGTGGCGACAAATTTTCATGGAACTGACGAGTGGATCTGTAAGCAGAATTCGCTCGGCCTTAATCCGTGAAAATTTGTAAGCCCGAGCATGGATGTCTACCAAACTCCCTGATGTCTTCGGACAATAAATAGTGCCTATAGATGGCTGTAGATTCCTAAAGGAATAGAAGCCACTAAACTCTCAATAAAAAAAAAAAAAAAACTGGTTATTTCTATATGGAGTCTGAATTTAAACAATTTCATGATTCTCTCATCCCATGATCTAGAAGAAAAAATGTCTTAGATGAGCTCCTGACTTAGTTATTAATGGTTGGAGTCAGCATAAGTTTCGAAAAATTTGAGCCTCACCAGAGTAAAACCTACAACTGTGCGAGTCGAATTGACCTTACAACAAAATTATTTTAATTTGGCAATTCACCTCCTTCTGATGACAATTTTTATTTTTTCATCTTAAAGAGCATCAAACTTAAAATTTGTTAGAGGAGTGGTACTTCCTTAGAAAACTCATCAACTTTGTGACATACCAACATTTGTTTGATGCACAATTTGACTTGGAGAAATGATTTTAGCTCTTTGATAAGCAGGTTGTTTTGATTTACTAATTTGCATAAAAACGTGAATATTAATGGCTAAAGTTGGAAAATGCGTACTTGCATTGCAGCAAATAAAAATCTCTTATTATCTTATATTTTTTTAAAAGAGAACAAACCAGAATAACTATTTCAAAATTTCTGTGATTATATTTGAACTTGTGAAGAAAATTCAGAGAAAATTTAAAGAAACACTGTAGATTAATTTTTTAGTTTTTAATAAAAATGAAAAAATGCAAACAGATTTGCCATATCGCAAACAAAGATACGCATTTTCCCAACAGCCATCAATATTTCCTCCTGGAACTTCACCTAATTGTACACATTTTTTTCGCAGCAACATTCTCATGAGAAATCATACACATACCTTAGATTTAAGTTTAGATAAAATTTAGTTGTCTAAATTGGAATTGAAAAAAAAACTTACATCTGGGTCCACTTCTTTTGCAAGAATACTAATTTCTTCTGGAGATAGTTGCGAGAGTAACTGTTCCACATCTAACTCCTCATATTCATCTAAATCTTTGCCATATAATTTTGCTGGAGCCGTCGTCATGGTGGTTTTCTTTGTGGAAGACGATGTCTGCAACAAAAACAAGACATCCGAAAATTAATTCCTGCTTTAAATTTGATAAAAAATATACTTGACAAACATTTGGTTACCTTAGATGTCAAAGATTACAGCTGAAACAAAAAAGTGCGATGCGCCACTTACACAGAGGTTTTGAAGAGTAAATCTTATGTGAGTCAATAATGTTGAATTAGATACTATCACATAAATACACAACTGACCCATTGTAGTTTGGTACTCATCAAACAGTTGAACGAACCCAAGTTACATAAGACTTATCGTAAGAAGGGCGTGAAGATGAAAGAGAAAAAGAGAGAGCAAAAACTGCACAACAAAATAAAACAAAAAATTAAATGATCCAGTTGAGTAAAATTTTGTGTAAAAGCTTTCACTTTCTAGAGAGATCAAGAGCACTGTTTTTTGATCAACAAAAACCAAAAAAGTGTAAAATATATGCAGGTAGTTTGAATATATATTAAATTCCACCCCACTTGAATACTGAGGATACAAGATAAAAAGATATTTCTTCTGCAACAGTTCGTAAAAAACTAATCACATTGGGTCTAGATGGAAGGAATTCACGCGAGAGCATGAATCTAAAACGAAGTAGAAGCCTTCATATATTTTTAAGATCTTTAAACATGCTCATGGAAGTAAGACGTTAATTTGGCAGCTCAACATGATGCTCGGTGAAGAGAGGCTAATTCAGCCATGCGATGCAAGGTCGATCGCTAAACTCTGAAAACTTACTTATACTTAATTACAGTGTTTTAAAATCTACGTATATACTATATTTTATTACAGAAATACTAACAAATGTTATGGTTTAAAATTCCTACTGAATACATAACTGTGACAGAGTAAGAAATTTAGAAAAATTACGGAAAATTTAAAAAAATATAGCCAGTTATTTTTTACCTCTCAAGCTCTAGAAAAAAAAAAAAAAAAAAAAAAAAAAAAAAAAAAAAAAAAAAAATACGAGAGGAATTTAGTGATGTTGCATTTTGAGATGCTGTTTTCATAGTTGACCATTGGGATCATACTGGCATGTATAGCTTGCTAAAGGCTCACAGTTTTAACAAACATGAGAATAAAGCGAAAGTAAAAAACTGCGTGGATATTTGATATTTCTCAGGTACCTATACTGAACATTATCCTCAATGACATAAACGTTTTAGGCTTAGTAGATCACAGTTCACGGTAAACATATGTAATTTGGGCTTCTAAAAATAAGGATTTTGAATGCTTTAAACGACTCTTAATATCATAGAGATTGAAATAAGACTGTTCAATTAGTCCTAGAATCAAATAAAAATCACTAAGATTACTTAAGTGTACTGAAAGCAAACTCAGGTGAAATTTCGCGGCATGTAATTACCTCTGCAATGATAAAATAGACCACACACCACAAGTGTGATGATTGAATTACAACTGTTACGAACAGTTGGAGGCTGGGAAAATTTTCCATTCAAGACCAACCTAAAGTTTAGGAAAAAAGTGATTTTATCCTTGCAGTTCAACACAAATTTGAGAAAAGTTCCAGATATAATCATCATAAATCAGAGGTATTTCCTCAGCAAGAAAGAATCAGACGCATTCTCTCTACAAGCCCATGATGCCTAAAAGGTTTCGATTTGTACGCTTCATGTTTTCGATTTCACTTCATAGATAAGTAGTTACCGATTTAAGTAGCAACATTGGATGAGAAGATATGGCACATAGAGCTTTGTGACAGGTAAAACAATCATGACACAAATTTGGGGCTTGTTACGTGGGGTAATTTTGCGACTTGAGTGTATGGGTATGAACATCAACACCAAAACTATTGGAGGTCACACAACTTGGTGTAACAGGGGACACCGCATTATTGACTTCTCACTTGACAAGACAACTTTATTGCATGCTTTACAATTGCTCTTAAACCTGCAAGCGCCAACGGAAATCCTTAGATTTCAAACAATCTCGACTGTGAGTGGGAGGAGTGAATAAGTTTCGCAATAGTGGAATATATCTACACAAGTCACGATTCAGTTCGGTGATTTGATTTGTTGCTACCTAAGAGGAGATGAGGAGTTCCACAAAACAAAGGAAATAATTGGAGGAGGAACTAGGAAGTATTGGCAAGCAGACAGTTGAAATAAAAATCAATATTCTTGACTAACCTCCAAACTTCCTATACGCAAACTTGACTATTCGAGGTCCTTTTTGCAGACGAAATTCCTTCCTTGAATTTACGTCAAAACACCCCTGGCACTAAAAAAATCGCGGTGACCAAAGCCGAAATGACAACTTAGTAATTAGAACAACAATAGTGAAACTAATTCATACGCGAAAAATGCTAATTAGGAGCACGCCCTTTTGAAGGATCACTCGTAAACACGACTAGAAAAGCACAATTTTCTGGCACCACAGCCGACTTTTCAACACGATAAATCGGCGATTTCGAACACTTGTTGACTGTAACGTTTACTTCGAAGAAAAACTCAGAATCACAAAAAGGAGAGGCGGATGAAATTTCGCGAATCCTTGCCCAAGCGGATTCAATTGCGAAAACCAATCGATAACCTCTATGATCGATAACAGTCGAGAGAAAACAAAACACAAGTCGTCAGGAGTACAGTGTTGCATTGTGAGCGTGAAAGCAGTAGAAGAAAATACTGGAGGTAAAAATTAAATAGAGTTTCATTTGAAGTTAGAAAATAGTTTAGAAATAATTATAATTGACTGCGTGATGGTTTTGAGCGACGACGGCAAGGCTGATTTAGTGATTTAGCTTCCCGCATCTCGTGGAAAAATTTTATATCCACAATAATTGAGGTGATTTGGCAACATAAAAGACTAACAGCGCGCTCTGCGAGCACAATAGTGCAACGAAAGGCGGGTTTTTTGAACTGCCGCTTCGTCTATGACAATCATGATTGTTTCTGCGTGAGAGGGGCGTTCTTTATGGTGAAAGCTTAAGAACGCATTTCTATCGGGAAACTGGGACTCAAAATTTACGCGCCTTCTTTATTTTCTCTGAGGAGGAAAGACCAATAAATCGTAAGAAAGAGCTACCAACAAAATACTTCTTGAAGGTGAAAAAAAATCAGAGGAAATTTTCGACGAATTCTCTTTTCTAGGGAGGGATTCCCTAAGCTTTGGTGTCAAAAAAATTATTGGATATGTTTGTGAGAGTTGTTTGAAAACATAAAAACCCAAATAAAGAAAAACTTGAGAAGAAATATTTGCCCATTGGATTTTTGCCAACGTCTTAATGAGGATTTTATGCTAGAACTTTAAGCCGGTTTCCTTTAAATCCTCCAGCATCGATTCGTTTTTTTTATGAACCCTGCTCCAATTTGATGATCCTGAAGCAATCAGTGACGTAAGAAATATTTTCCACGAGCTTTGGGCCCTGCCGCACCGAGCTCTGAATAACCGTGGGTTGATTTACATTTGGATGGCATTTTGCAAAAAGGAACCAGGAGCATTGCAATGTTGCTAAAATTGCGCAACTTATTTTGTCTTGGAAGAAAAACCTGATTATCCATTAACAGTTTCTATTTTACTCGCTAAAAACTGTAAATTTAAAACAAAAATTATTATGCAAATTTCGTATTTTTTCATGGTTTCAATAATTTTATTGCAAAAGATAAAGTTGCACAATCTTAGCACCATTGCAATGCTTCTGGTTCCTTTTTGCAAAATGCAATCCACTTCTGACTAAACTTTTTTCTAACTCTTCAGCGAAAAAATTCAAATGTGTTGAGATGCGACCTCGAATTCTTCCTGTATAGTAACCATGAAACATTTTGCAACGTTCGTCGTTCTTGAATCAGAGAAGGTAGGAAGGGGCCGCAGACCGCATTTTAGGACGGCAACGCTGTCATATATTTGACCAATCGAGGCATTATTCGGAAAATTGACAACGTCACGATAAAATTCAGTGATAGTTTACTTCATCGGCACAACAAGCAACGCTGAAAATCAGTTAGGGCATGAGTGAAACAAGTAGAGCGCCCTTGATTAGTGTCGAATGCGACGAACACTAGGCTTCCATTTTAATTTCTGGATGCAACAATTCGGGCTCCATGGATGTCCGTGTTGCATACGCGCGGGATTGAAGGCGCTTTGACTGGCCAGACACTCACCGCTTTACCCTCTGCGCAGCGCGGCGCCAATGGAGGGCTTTGCTGAAAGAAATCCAAAAAGGAGAGTGATTTCAATTCTGCGGGCCCTCGAAATCGCGAAAAATTAGGTATTCGAACATGACATGTAGATTTTCCTCTAATCTACTTATTTGACTCGTATTCGTCGCCCCCCACCCCCCTCAAGGAATAATAAATGTAAAGGTTTAAGTGCGAAATTTTCGGAGAACAATCCTGATAAATCGCGCGTTTAGAAAAAAAGATGACTATTTTCTTCTTTCTAAAAATAAAATGCGACGGATATCTGTATCTGTAAAGCCAAGATACACACATATGATTTCCTAAATGCAATAGCGAAAATGTAGCAGTCTGGTAAACATATTACCGTCAAAATTATATTATGCCCTTTCCCTCCATGAAATGTTCCATGAAATGAAGGCTGCCTCCAGTTATGTTTTACTTCCTTCAAGGAAAACTAAATAAAATATTTCCTTGCGATAGGTCGGTGGCAAGGTTCGAACTCGGAATGTTGATTTAAATTAACATGGTGAGCTGAGAATGAAAATACTCTTGGTTTTTTTAGTATTAATGGACCACCAGACAAGGTACGAATTTAAGCATTCTGATACATGTTTCTTAACCAGAATTTCACGTAGAACCCGATTCGCACTACGAAAATTACCGAAATCAACTCCTAACGAAGATATTAACGTTTTTATTTCACATTGGTTGCGAGGAATTTGAACTGCCCGCTCACAAGAAACTAAAAGCTCTACGTGAGTCAAATCGCGCCAGTGGCGTGCGGTCCGGATAAGCAAGGCAAGCACTGCTTGCCCAAAGATTTCAAACGAAAGAAGAAAATTACACCTATGTCATGTTGAA